CCGAAAATTGGCTCCAAAGATGTACAGGCTGATTTTCTTTAGAAAAGAGGAGAATAAGAGAATTGGTGTGAAGAATGTGAAAGGTATGAAGGGGTATTTATAAGCTAGCTCATGCAAGAATTATGGAAAGAGAATTTGGGAAGAATTAGGGCAAGTAGGGTTTATGGAATTACTTGGAGAAGTAAATAAAAGAATTAAGGAAGGTTTTGATATTAAGGTGATTGTGTGTAATTAAATATGGAAGGTATGTTTGTCATGCATAATAATATGGAGTTACTTGAGGAATAATTAAGAAGAATAAAAGGCAAGAAAATATGATGATCAAATATTAGAAGATGGAGAAATAGAATTAAGGAAAATAAGAGATTTTGGGAGATTATTAATAATACAATTTACCAAAATAATTTCCCCCAAAATAATACAAGAGGGCCGAAAATCTTGAGCTTTCCATAACTCAGATTTTCGGATTCCCTTAGTAGTATTTGGAAGATTTTTGCTCTGTTTAAGGAATAAAAATAATTGTGTAAATAATATAGAATAATTAATTAATTAATTAATATACCAATTATTCACCAATAAATAACTAAGAAAATAAGATTTTTTACACATAGAAAATCCGAGTTTCCTAGATAATGAATGGGAATTTTCGGCCATTTAATATAGTTAATAAAATATAATTTTGCTTTGATTAAATATCCGAAATATATAAATAATATTTTTTTTTACTTTTAAAAAAATAAAAATAAATGGATAATAAATATTATCCAAAATAATAATTAGATTTCTTTCAAAAAAAAAAAAAATTGGATTTCAAAATTCTTTTGGTGCCAAAATTCAAATATCATTTTGGCTCCAAATAATAAATTTACTAAAATACCCTCTTTATAAAATAATACTAAATTTAATTAATTAGAAAATACGTATGAAAACATGGGGTACTACAGTCTACCCCCTTAAAATAACTAATATATAAAGCCAAATTTTTAGCCAGGCCACGGGACAACGACATTTGGCGTTCTAATTTTTCGCCAAATGTCACGCCACGTTGAATATATATATATATATATATATATATATATATATATATATATATATATATATATATATATATATATAACTTCCTTCGTTCTATTAATATTGCAACAATGGACTTTTTACACTATTCATCACTCTTGTTTGACCATATTATATGTTAAGCAAAATATAGTCAAATGGGATCTTGTTGGATTTGTATCATTTAATACTTTCACAATATCAACTTTTTATAATTTTTACTCTTACACAATTATAGATATTTAGCATATAAAATGTATTTTGGGATGCGTAATTTCCTCCTTGTTGCAATATTAACAGAACGGAGGAAGTATATATTTTAGAGTTTTATTTTTGATAAAAAAAAAAACAATATTTCATAGGTACAAATTAACTTGTAATTTTATTCAAAAAATAATTTGAATATAACTCTCAATAATCATCAAATAATTTTTTTTATTATAATATTTTTCGGAGCAAAAGAAGTACTTCAAATGCATCCATCATATAACTAATATATAAAAATAAACTTTTAGCCAGATTATGAGACAACAACACTTGGCATTCCAATTTTTCACCAAGTGTCGCGCCACACAAACGACAATTAATTATTAATTAGTGTGTAGCCCGGGCGTTGCACCGGTTGCTACTTTAATTAGACCTTGTAATTATCAATTATATAAATTTATTTTCATGTTTATAACATAGCTTATGATTAGCTTAGATGGTTAAGTAACTATCTTTCTTATAATTGGTTGGGTGTTCAAATCCCCTTATCATCATTTTTTTTATATGAAGCAATATTCTAGTTGATTGAGTAGTGATCATGTGGCATAATGAGAAATGGAATAGGTGACGTGGTATATATATATATATATATGTATATTGTAGAATAGGATTAAAAAATTGAAAAGATTCCAGTAGGATAAAATAGTTATTTTAGTGTTTTATTTTCAATAAAGTTTAGATGATTTAGTAGGATAAAAAAAATTTATTTTAGAGTTTTATTTTCAATAAAACTTTTGGTTTAAAAATTTTATTTTCACTAAAAGTACCAATATTTTCTTTGAAAAAAAAACAATATTTTTATATAAATGACAGATATGGAGAGGTACAAAAAGGAGAAAAAAAAAAATCAAAGAGACCTTTCCTTAGACGTTCGGAGAAAATGAACAGAGATCACAACTTTAGACCACAATTTTTTTTTGGTTGTACATTATTTAATCTAATTTTTTAAGATTTTCAGGTGATTATTAATCCATAAAATACGTATAAATGGACAAGTGTGATGTCATGTGATTATTAATTCATGAGTTGAAAATTCAATATAAATAAATAATCCGGACATCGCACAGGCATAAAATTAGTTAAAGATTTTGGGTCTGTTCTCATTGATTGAACTGAGCTGAACTTTTAGAGTTGAACTGAAATGAATATTTTATGAGAGAAGGAAATTAAGATCTAAACTGAACTGAATTTATTAGAATTGAACTAGGTCTAAGCCTAATATGTGTACTAAAATAACGACCGCTGATATCATCATTGCTTATGTGTCACTTTCTTATTTTATTTTTTCCCTCCAAAATGCATGGATGATGTCATATTTTTCCTTTACAAACTACCCTATTTAACATTATTTTGAAAATAAAATTCCATTTGAATTTTTAAATTTTTGGTTTTCTACAGATATTATGTTATTTAGTTATTTATGATTTGTTAACAATAGTTTATAATATAATTTAATTGAAATTTCCTTATTAAATATGAAAATTATGTTACAGATGGGATTCCGTGTAGCTTGGATTAATAAAGTAATGCAATGTCTTTCGAGCGTCTCTTTCTCCTTCAAATACAATGGGGCTATTTCAGGTGCTCTTATTCCATCTCAGGGACTTCGGCAGGGAGATCCAATTTCACCGTACTTGTTTCTTATATGTGCGAAGGCTTTCTCTTGTTTGATTTCTAAAGCAGCATCTGATAAGTTGATTCATGGAGTCAGTGTTTGCAGGGGAGCTCCTAGGGTGTCTCATCTTTTCTTTGCAGATGACAGCATTTATTTGCGAGAGCTAATTTGCATGAATGTTCTAAAATTGCTGATATAATCAGTACATACGAAAGAGCATCTGGTTAGAAAGTCAATCTTAGCAAAACTGAAGTAGCTTTTAGCAAATGTGTGAAGTCGGAGAGAAGGAAGGAAATTATTGATATTCTGGGTGTTAGAGAAGTGAATAGACATGAGAAATATTTGGGGTTGCCGACTCTTATTGGAAGGTCAAAAAAGCGGTCTTTACTTGTCTCAAAGAGCGTATTTGGAAGAAACTTCATGGGTGGAAGGAAAAATTATTATCTCGTCCGGGCAAGGAGGTATTAATTAAAGTGGTGGCACAAGCAATTCCTACTTATATGATGAGTATTTTTAGGATTCCGGATTGTCTTATTGATGAAATTCACTCTACTTTAGCCCGTTTTTGGTGGGGTTCGGATGGTTCGAATAGAAGGATTCATTGGCATCGATGGGAAGACCTTTGTCTTCCTAAATCAATGGGGGGAATGGGGTTTAGAGACCTTAAATACTTTAACTCGTCTCTTCTCGCAAAGCAAGGATGGAGGTTATGTGTCGATAATGATACAATGCTTCAACAAATCTTCAAAGCCAAGTATTTTAAATATTCTGATTTTTGTGGTGCGGCTAGATGCTTTGATCCGAGCTATACGTGGAGGAGTATTTGGGGGGCAAAATCTTTGCTCCTTGAGGGTTTGAAGTGGAGAGTGGGAAATGGCTCTTCAATTAAGGTTTGGGAAGATGAATGGCTGGTTGGGGATGGTTCGAATTCTATTCCGACAATTCAATTGCATTGTGATATCGATATGTGGGTGAGTGAACTTATTGATTTTGATAATATGTGCTGGAATTCTGATTTGGTGGCTACCACTTTTTGCGAGGTAGATGGCCTCAAGGTCCTTGACATCCCATTGCTAAGGGTATGGGTGGAGGATAGGAGATTCTGGTGGCCTGCTCGGAATGGGTTGTTCTCTGTCAAATCAGCCTATTGGCTGGGCAGATTGGGTAGGATACATTCATGGGAATTGCTTCACGGAGATAGCGAGAATAAGCTTTGGCACGAGGTGTGGGACTTAAAGGGACCTCCAAAGCTGTGCCATTTTGTATGGAGGGCCTGTAAAGGGTCTCTTGGAGTGATGGAGAGACTGTATTTTCGCCATATACAACCCTCAAGCATTTGTTCGATTTGTGGTGTGGCTAGTGAATCAATAATCCACGCTTTATTTTTCTGCAAGCATGCTGTTGCTATATGGCAGCAGAGCAACTTTCTTGACCTGATCAATGATGCTCCTATGTCTTCGTTTCAAGAATTGTTCAGCTGGGTTTCGAGCAAATTAGACAAAGCACAGCTACTGGCTTTTGTATGTCTTGCGTGGGCAGGGTGGTATTGCAAGAATAAAGTGATTTTTGGCGAGGCAAATGACTTCAACGCTGTGACGATTGCTGCAAGTTTTGTCAAAATGTGTGAGGATTATTGTGTGTACAATGCTAGAGTGGGTGGGGGTGTGTCTGTTCCTATCAGCTTCTCTCGTACAAGCTGGGTTCCACCCCACTCCTCTGTTGTTAAGGTGAATTTCGATGCATATGTTCCTAGCCATGGAGGAGTTTGCTTGGGAGTGGTTGTTAGGGATGAATGGGGAAAGATCCTGCTGAGTGCGACGAAGAGAATAGCGTGCATGTGGTCTGCTGAAGTTGCAGAAGCTGCTGCAGCGTGCTGCGGTGTACATATTGCGAGCAGGTTTGGGTTTTGGGAAGGTAATTCTTGAAGGCGATGCTTTGAATGTGGTGTGTGCTATTAGAGACAAGCTTGAGGGTGCGGCTCCTATTTTTCATTTCTACGAGGACGTTGGTAGATTGAGGAATGATTTTATTAGCTTTGATTGTGTCCATGTTAGACGGGCGGGGAATACTGTAGCTCATATGGCTGCTAGATGGAACACGGATACTAGTAGTGAATGTAATTGTTCGGATTCTATTCCCCAAAGTTTGTTAACTTTGGCGGAACTTGATTTAATAAATTGATTCCCCGTGTTTGTCTTCAAAAAAAAATTATGCACTTTTGGGAATTGTATATTCATATTTAATCAAAAATTAATTAGGAACACGGAGGAAGTAGTTATTTTCTTTCAATATATGTTTAAAAATTTATAATTCAATTCTTATTTTAAAATCGTGCATCGCAAGGAATCACCTAATGAAAAAACAACGTTAACCACTACTCTAAAACTCTAAAAGTCAAAGTAATTGTAACCAGTTTCGAATCTGTCAAGTTCAACTTAAAAAAAAAAAAAAAAAAAAAAAAAAAACAACCGAGAAATGAGGCGAACCTCAGTAACAACAATCACTCTCCACCTCCAATCACCAACAGGTCCAACACCCACACTCATGACTTTCAACATTTCACCATTTATTACCGTCATCATTAACGGTAACCGTAAGAAACCGTAACGGTTACATTCCCACCCCTCCCACCGTTACACTTACATTTACCCTTAAAAGAAAAACGGATTTCCAATTTTCCTCACCCCAAAACTAACGTCGTCTCACGTCGTCACATTCCCATCCCCACCTTTACTTTTTTTTCTCTCTAAAAAATTCCTTTCTCTCTCTAAAAATGGCCGACGATTTCTCTCTCCTCACCGCCGCCGCCGACGACCACCACAACCAACACCAGTTCAACTCCCATCACCATTATTTACACCCCAAATTACCCTCCACCACCTCCGCTGCCGCATCGGAGGTCTCAAACGACGTCGTTAAGATCTCCGGCGCCGATGGAACCTCCGACAACGGCGTCGTTTACGAGGTCACGTATGAACCGTCGGAGTTCGACCCGGTTCCGGATCTTGAGTCGGATCCGAATCCGACGATTAATATTATGACCGATTCAACGGAGAAGAGGAAGGAAATTGATAGAGATGACGTCAGCGAAGGGAGTTATAAGAAATCGAAGTTGGCGGTGATCGCCGGCGCCGGAGGAGGAGGGATTTCCGGCGCCGGCGAGTACAGGAAAGATCGAGAAGAGTGGAGTGATACGGCGATAGAGTGTTTGTTAGATGCGTATACGGAGAAGTATACGCAGCTGAATAGGGGGAATTTGAGGGGGAGAGATTGGGAGGAAGTGGCGGTGATTGTGAGTGAGAGGTGTGAGAATCAGCATAAGAGTGTTGAGCAGTGTAAGAATAAAGTCGATAATTTGAAGAAGAGGTATAAGTTGGAGAGGCATAGGATGAGTAGTGCCGGTGTCGCGGTTAGTCATTGGCCGTGGTTTAAAAAGATGGAGGCCATTGTGGGGAATTCGGTTTCTTCTAAGTCGGTTTCGGATGATGATAAGGTTAGCGGCTCTAGTGGGAGTGCTACTAGGCAGCCGAAGAGGTATACATTTTTTTCTTAGCTATGTTTGAATCTTGTAATATTTATACTGTGTTCGTTTTATATTATTTGCTATGATTTGACATAAATTGTAACTGAAAAGTTTCTAATGATTGCTAATACGGAGTAATATGAAACGGATGTAGTACTTGTATTTGTTTTCAGAAATTACTTGTGTGTGACATCAGCTTAAATGAATAGAGAATTTAAATAGAGGAAACAGTTGAAGGAAATACAATGTTTTTTGGTGATTGTCAAGAGAATCTTCAATTAACCAATAATTAAAAAAGAGAGAAAGGTTTAGTTTTGTGTATTCTCTTACTTGAATCAGGTGTTTAACACGGTGATGGGGTTTATAGTGCTTATTTGCTTGAAAGATAGAAGGTAAAGGAGGGATAGATAGATTACATACTAGAGGATTCTATGGGTCTACCATCACCACAACTGTATTTGATTAATATATTTTCCATTGAAATTAGCAAATCAATGATAGTGGAAGAACAAATAGATGTTATACTTTTACATAGGGCAACATAGCCCATCCCCGATGTTGAGAATTGAGAAGAGATATGTTAGGGGAGCAAAGATTGAATTGACCAGTTAAACCTGTTGAATCTCTTGGAATGCCAGTAGTTACTAGAAGGGGGTCAGTGTATTCAAGTTAAAATTTTGTAAATTTGATAATCATGGTGGGCTAGAGGCCATAGAAACACAATGGATTTTAGAAAATACTACTCACCAATGGAGGTCTCAATGCATTGGCACCATGTAAATTTTCCGACGGACATTATATGATAGTTAGCTCATGGACGAGGATCAGAGATTCAGAGTTGACAAAATGTTGTCCTATAGCATTGGAACTTTCAATTTCTTGATCTTGTTATGTGAAGTTTAGGGAGGGTGTCATTAGTATTTTCTTTTGGGGGTGGAGGGGTCAGGGTACTGGCCTACTGGGTGTTGATAATCCCTTCTGTAAAAATGTAAAATATTAAAATGCTTATTCTCTCAGATATCACCGATTTGTATGTACAATGTACGCCTTTGAAATATACCCTGGACCTCTTTCTTCTTCCCTGAGATCTAGAACATGCATAATTGTCTTTTGTTTCATTCATATTTTGAGTTTTATGAGGAAATAATTGTTGGATCCGGTTTTCAACTAAATATATTTCGACGTGGGCAGATATTCCGTGGGAACACCAGGCTCGCTTGGTCAGGTCAATAACATGAAGTCAAAATCAATACCTAACTTAAAATGGCAAAGAGTTGTTTTTAAGATCAGTGGTGCTGCTTTAGTTGGCAATGGTCCTCATAACATTGACCCTAAGGTTTGTTTCAAGATCTATATTTATCCTTGCTAACCTCACAAACTGCTTAATGCTGAAATAACCCAACAAATGTTAATATTAATGTATAATATAGAGAAGATGGAGAGCCTGTTTATACAGCTATATTTAGTTTTCCTGTCATGTTTAAGCAATGACAATCATTTCCTTGTTAGCTTGTAGTGGAGTGAATTGGTACTTTCATAGTCTCTAACTCTCTATTGGATTGACACTGGTCTTTCTAGCTAATTTGTTTGTTTACCTTCTGTAATTAGTCATTAATATTTTTCATATGTCTAATTTACTTTGTTGAGTATTTAGTGTGGTGACTAGGGGTTCAGGTTGTGTTAAGTTCATCTAATTTGAATTTCTTTGATTTGAATTGGTCTTTTATAACTAAACGTGGGGCTTATTTTTATACCAATCCTTAAGGGAAAAAACTTTTCAAATGAAATTTCGTTATATATGTATCAATATGCATTTTCCAAGCATGAAAATTTCATAGTTATTTTTTCTGACATGTAATCAATGATATTTAACAATAGCAAGCTCAAATTAAAAGATATGATCTGACCAGTTCTGTAATTAGCAATTATTTGCTTGAATTAGTTAAATAGAACATCTACTAAAACTGTGGATCTGGGCACTTCCATATAATGTACTGCCCCTACTTCCCCTACAAACAAAAAAGGCCTAATGATTTTAAAAATTGCTGCTTTTTGGCATCAGTAAAACCCAGATGATTGTTTAAACTTTTTGGTTCTACTGCTGGAAATTCTGAATCCTTGGAGACTACTAATCAACTTAAATTGGAAGGTCCAATTCAAGTAGGACCTCTACTTAGTGACATCTGATCATATAAGCTTGACATAGCCTAACGAGCCAGATGATGAATTACGTTTATTACGTTCTTGAAATCAGATTGAAAACTAAACAACCGATAAGGAATAAATCAGAGCATATATTCTTTTATCAATTGTTGAGCAGTTGAGTTTAGCCGCCTGTTATGGATAGTGTCTCGTAGGGCACAAACTAGAACTTCGGGATCACCTTTTGACGGCTCCTTTGACCAAGTCTCAACCACTGCAAATTTCAGCAATTTTTTCCTCCGCTGCCTCAGCTAGTTCCTTTGTATTTTTTCCCCTTTGACTTAATTTTCTAGTTGTATCTTGTAGTTACATTTTTTTTCAATTATCTGTGCAATGTACATTTCTGAGTTGTGACGGCATTTCTTAAATGGTGCAAGTGAGTAGCTGATGAAGCACGAAGGGGAAATTCATAGATTGGAGAGGAGGGTGGTGTGAATAGTATATTTATAATTTGTTGGTCTTTGAATATTTTGCTGTGTATTTGGACATTTGGTAGCATTATTCCATTTCAGCATCTGAATGAATGTTGAAATTTTTAGGTAGTAATGCTAATTGCTAGGGAGGTTACAGTGGCTTGTCGCCTTGGAGTTCAGGTATATATCTTGGTGATTAATATCACTTTTTCAACTACCCCTCCCTACTTTTGTCATAAGCATTTTTAGCTCTTACAGACTGAAAATGGCTGTTGTGTCATAGGTAGCAATTGTTATTGGTGGGCGTAACTTTTTCTGCGGGGATACCTGGATAACTGCGACCGGTGCTGACAGATCTACCACATATCATATTGGGTATTCTATTGACCTGCTGAACATTTAATTTATTTTTTTTATGCTGCAATATTTTCTTCATTTTCTTCTTTACCTGGTGTCTGACAATTGGAGTGTACTAGTCTGCTGGTTGTATTTTACTTTCTCACTCTCTGGTTCTCTGCCGTGTTTGTCTCTGGGTGTGTTTGTGTATGTTGAATGCTTAAAGTGAAGATGATCTGTGTAAAACATTTTTGATATTTGGTGTATTATAGTTGTCATTTGTCTGATAGACTGATGTGGCTGCTTCCTTTAGTCTTTCCATAGGTCATGCATGTTATAGTTCATTTGCATATTACGCGCAAACAACCGTGATACCTAACCCTCTAAGTTCCCTTTTGGATGTTCTTAGTCTCCCTGAAAGACAATTTGATGCTGTTTGAAGTATTTTGCTGCTATTTCAGTAAAGAGTTATCATGAGAATATTTTTTAATTTTTTACATTGGATTTAGCTAACTATTAGATTTAGGTTTATCTTTAATTTTTTTGGCTCGAAAGGAGGTGAAAAGCTCATATTGTTGTGATGTGCTTTGATCAATTGTGGTTATAAATTAAATTAAAGACGCAATTGTGCTTGCATCATGAAAGGATATCAAGAGAGGAATCCTGCACTTCCACACCCCCCCTCCCCCGGGGGGGGGGGGGCAGATTTCTTTAAGGCACTGCAATTGGGGGAGTTATTTATTGCATTGACCTCACTTCACCAGTTTATTCAGGAGTAATTCCGAATATACTGTCCAAGTGAAATCTTCTGGTCGTGGCAAGATTCTAGTTTGCTGTTGAGCTTGTGAATTATAAATGTTATTAAATAATTTCTCTGGCATATTATGTCTTGCTACACCTGTTTTATGGCATGGGCTATCTAGCATTTGTAGGAAATGGTCCAGTAGTCACCTTGTTACTTATGCTCTTACCTTAACATTTTCTCATAAAAATATGTTTTCTGCTGTGTTGGTAGTTGTCAGTCTTGTCACTCAAGTTGTGAATTTTTCAGGTTGAACTATATATACTTAAATGTTAAATCTCATAGTCAGGCTCGTAGTTTGAATCTGAGTAGCTGCTTGAAATGCTATATGGTTATGAATTATTTTGTCTCACATCAATTGCTCACCCTTGTCAGTATGATGGCAACTGTGATGAACTCAGTGTTGCTCCAGTCAGCCTTAGAGAAGATGGGTGTTCAGACACGTTTACAAACTGCTTTTGCAATGTCAGAGGTGGGTGAGCCATACAATAGACAAAAGGCAATCAGACATCTAGAAAAAGGCAGAGTGGTGATCTTTGGTGGAGTTGGTGGTGGTTCAGGAAATCCTCTCTTTTCAACTGATACAACAGCAGCTCTACGAGCAACTGACCGTATGACTTTATCCTTTCCTGTGATTTTGCTAAAAAATAATGTATCTGAAAGTTTGCTCATTGCCTTTTGGGGTTGTTGTGTATGGTTCACTGTAGCTATTACAGCTTGGTTCATGTCTTATGTGTGGTATTTTGTCCCCTTTCTTACAGTTAATGCCCAGGCAGTTCTCAAAGGCACCAATGTTGATGTTGTTTATGACTGTAATTCAAGTGGCGTTACATTTGAGCACATATCCTTCAGAGAAGCTGCTTCCCGAGGCCCCTCATCTATGGACATGATGGCAATGACATTCTGTGAAGAGAATGCTATTCCTGGTTAGTATACTCAGCTTAAATATTTACTATTCAACAAGCTGATTCATTAAAATCTTCCTCTGTCCCTTTCATATTGCAACATAGAGGAGTTGCTTCCCAAAGCAAGATTCAAATCTTACAAGAGCCTACATGACTATATTTACTCTTACGCATCAAACAATATCAATATCAATATATATATATTAAAACTCAATGGCAAGGATTGTAATCTCGCCATGTGTCGCCATGTCACCTACTATTACTAATCATACATCAATGTTTTCTCATAAAAATTTATAATTTATTAGCATTAATATTTAAACCATTACCTCATATTCATTAAAATTAAATTTTAACTAACCACCGCACCAAGGACATCTTATGATGATAAAATTGTATTAAAAAGAGTTATTCATGTTCATAAATTCTAAAATTTAAATTGTGAACTTATATGTGTATATTTTAACAACAATATGATTGCAAAATTAATTTCATTTCTTTAATTTACTCAATTCAACCATAATTCATATATGTAGTAGGTTATAGATAATTAAAATATATAACCCAAAAATGCAAAGCAATTCTGAAAGTTTTTTCTTTTTAACCACAAAATATGTTTACTTGAAGGAATTTATTATGATAGCTGAATAATAAAAAAATCCCTGATACAGTACAATATAACATTTAGGTTGCTGCATATTAGATAATGAATTTTGATGTTCAATTATATTTAAAATATTTAACAAATGATATTATTTTTATAAAACCACCAATATATTTCACTTTATTTTGTTATAAATTTTTTTAATATACAAACGATGACCCGGGGCATTGCTTGGGCCAAAAACCAGTTAATTACAATATGTGGTTAAAGAGGAGTGTTTAGATAGTATCAGGATTGTAGACGTTGCAATATCTAAGGAACAGAGAAAATATGCTATAACAATCATTAAGGTGACAAACTTTGCCCAGTTGCAATAAATGGGTAGCCATAAGTTCTATACATTTTCTCACATAAATAAAATATTAAGGTGACAAACTTCATTCAGCATCTAGGTGTTAGTATTACTTAAATTTGTTTGCTTTTAGTGCTTACATTTTATATGATTTCGTAATTCTGCTTCTTATCTTTAACTTCTTTATTTATTAGCACTTTCTTTTACTACTGGTTAACTTCTCATTGGGTTATATCTGTGCTATCTTTTTTTCCAATCAGTTTAGATAGTCATCATCTTGTGATTACTGCATTTTTCTGGAAAAAAAGGCCAATATTTGGTGGGCAATGCCTATGCCAGTAGTTATTCAGTGTCTTTTTGGTACATCTTTCTTAAGTAGGCCACATGCCACTTTTAACGAAAGTTGATGGGTTTGACTTGCCTGATTGGCACATGGATGATCTATTGGGATGCTGGGACCAAGTAAGCTGGCTAAAAGGCCCAACTCGGTTGGCTTGGGTTCAGCAGGGGTGGACCAGCCTGATCAAAGGTCAATCTGACAAATTGCTGTGCCTGTGTGCCAAATTATGGCATAGAAAGGGTTATCATATATATATATATATATAAATCAATTTTATAGGCCTTAATTGCCAAAATCACTCTCAATTTGCCTTAATCTAACAGTTTATTGATGGCTTTAAAATTAAAGGTCTTTTTGACAATGTAATAGCTGCCATACCCATCCTCTTCCTCTTTTTTTCTTCATATCTCTCTTGTTTTGAACCTAGGTTTGGATTGAAAAACAATCGAAGATTAATTTTTGATGTCAAAACTAGAATTTTATTTGCATTGACTTTGAGAGCCAAGGAGTGACAGGTATTTGGTCGGAGCTATGGAGATTATGGTGGGAAAAGGAAGGTTTTGAAACTGGATAATGGGCTGTGAATTTTTTTTGGCAATGCAATTGTTGCTTTTTGTTAGGTTGTAGATAATACAAGGTTAAAATGGAGATGATAATATGAATGGATTGGTGTTGTGCAGACATAATATCGAAAAGATGGTTGGATACTTTGGGTGTTGGTATTGAGAATTTGACAAGTTTGGAGCTCTGGGGTTGTTTTCTTTGATTCACAACTGCTGGTGGATGATGATCATCTGACTGATGTTGTGGGGGTGATGACTGAAGCGAGAAAGGATGGGGAAGTTTGGAAAGGATAGAGAAAAACAACCAAGGGAGGTTTAATTCCAAACAAATGGTTTTAATGTTGTCACAGTATATTTCGATCTCAGCAATTATAAGTAATGTGTTTGTTCTTTTGTGGAACAGTAGTAGCTCTCGATATTTCATTGAATTGTCAGGGAAGCTTGATGTGACTAAGGTTAACCTCATGATTCAAAGAAAATTAGTTGTTTCATATTCATCTCTTGAAAGTATAGCACATATAAGAATCATATAAGAAAACATTCTTTTCTGCTACACATGCGGAGCTTTTGCCACATTTTTGTGCTTACATCTTCCACTCGATCTGTCTATTTTGTTATCCTAATATAATGTGAATTGGCTAGTCCGTGACCATAAACAAATTGTGTTGTTCTGTGCAGTTGTGATTTTCAACTTTCTTGAACCTGGTAACATATCAAGGGCCCTTTGTGGTGAACAAATTGGTACATTAATTGATCAGACGGGAATGATTAGCTAACATCTATAACATATGTATTTTTCCTCATAACTTGTTGTAGCTTATATATATATATATATATATATATATATATATATATATATATATATATATATATATATATATATATACGGAAATTAAATTACAAGCCCCTGGTCACTCTCTATTTATACTGGTGGGGTGATCTTGGTTCCGTAAAATGCTTGAAGCTACAGCAGATGACTGCTGTATTTAGGGATGAAGCAAATTTTTAGTTGCTGTACCAATAACTTATCATCCTTGACGAACAACTTTGGAGGCTCGAGCTTGGGAGGCTGCTGCCTACTAATTTTTGAACCATAGTAATCATGGTTACTAATGCTTCATTTACGGCAGGCTGAGCTGCAAGGTATATTAACTCCTGTAGAATATTTCCTTCCCCCTGACCTGTAATTTTGTGGCGTATCTGTATTTATCAATTATACTTAGTATAGGTATTGTGGGGGACTCGTAATGTAGTAGTTGCGATGATGTATAAGTCAAAATTTTGTAACTAATAAAGCTTCACAGTTTTCCTGTTAATGGCAACAATACAGTTGATTTGTGGGTGGTGGATAGAAAATGGAAGTACTCAGTATATTTTACGGGTCTAAGAATTAAAGATCTGTTTATGACCTTCAAGATTCAATTGTAAAGGATGATATTGACAATTTTTGTATCAATTTTTTTTTTGCACAAATGCTGTTCTGCTGTTCATATTAGATAGGCATATAATTTATGATTTGTACTCTAATAATAGAAATAGTGTTATAAACTTCCAATGAAATATATAAAGTAATTTCTTTTTCCATTAAAAAAATAATTTTCATTTTTTGCTCCTAATAAAAAAGTAGAAACATTATTACTAGTATCATTCAGATGGTGTTTGGCAGAACTAATAGAAATATGTTTTATGTTTATGCTCCTAGTTTTAAGTACATGAAATACGATCGGTGCATTTCTGGTGTGGCTAGCCACACGGTGTGACAAGGTGTCACATTAGTAACCCCCTAAAGTAACCCTCGAAGTAGCCTCTACTAATAACCTATCTAGTAACCCTTGAAGTAACCCCTCTAATAACCCTTGACGTAACTACTAACTAGTAACCCCCGAAGTAACTCTAAAGTAATCCTTGAAGTAACCCCTATTTAGTAACCCCCAAAGTAACCCCTCTAGTAATCCCTAAAGTAACCCATGTCTGACTTAGTAACCCCTGACCTAGTAACCCCTAATCAGATCTAGTAACCCCTGACCGAATCTAGTAACCCCTGACCTAACCATCTTTTCCACCGCTAAATCCGTCACGAAACCACCAATTCTAACCACAACAACAATCAACCACCACCCATTCCAACCAAAATTAAAATAATTAAAAAGAAAAGGATCAAAACAAGTTTATGAGTTTGAAATCAACGACGACGATCAAATCTGGGTAACTATAAATCAATGCTTTTGAACGAAATTTAATGTGCCTACCACCAAAAAATACAAATATAGAAATAGACTAAATTATTTCATAATGTTACTGTAAATAATTGGCCAAACCAATGCTATTATCGATGGGTTGGTTTGGAGCTTTGAGGACCTTCAACAATGGCAAACACGAAGATGGTGATTTAGATCTGGGTTGGTTTGGAGCTTCGAGAACCTTCGATGACGACGACGGCGAAAATCAGTGCTCCGGAGACGACGGTTAGAGATAGAAAGTTTGAAAGAGAAGATGAGGAGAGATAGAAATTTAATTATTTAAAATAATTAAAAAAAAAAAGAAAAAAGAAATTGTGGTTGGTCACACGGTGGTAATCACATATGAAAGTTTGTGCACAATGATTATCTTGCAAATGTAGTTCGCATTAGTATTGGGTGAGTCTAATTTTTTACTCGTATTTTTTTCTAATAAGTTTGTATCAGGATATTGACCAAAAATAATTGATTAAATAATTGGGGAAAATATGATAAATCTTATTATAGAGGAAATAATGAAGATTTTATTATTTTTCAAAAATTATTCAAACCTATCTTTTTTAAAATTGTAAATATTCTTCATCATCAAATACATAATCTGATATCTTAATGTGTGCCTATCGACACACGCTAGAAAAACCGATGTTAAAATAATATAAGTACATCTTACTAGTAAGCAAACCTTTTGATAAAATACCAACCTTTTTTTACCTATAATAGATTTTTTAAGAAAGAAAAATTATTTTATAGTTTTACTTTTGATAAAATACCAACCTTTTGTACGTATAAAATAAAGAGAAGTTATTTTATACTCTTATTTTTTTGATAAAATTCTACTCCATATATATAAAATAATTATCCTGTCAACAAAAAAAAAAATTTATAAACATCAATTAATATCTTATACTAGTAGTTCCAAAGCGTGGTTCGTGCAGGCGGATGAACGATCCGCATGGTAAATCCGCTCCAAGTCTACAAAATGGCGGAATGTACATGCAGGTATATACTAATGTATATTGGTATATAAAAAAAATAGTGTTCATTATAATGTACATGGACATAAATATAAAAGAACATAGTGTTCATTTATTTATAATGTACACGAGATTTTTGTGCAATAATTTTGTATATATATTTTTTTTGAAAGAAATTTTGTATATAAGGAAATAGATAAATAGTATTATAATTATTTTTTTTACCATAATTAATTACAAATCATTTCAATTTTTTTTTTTTACCAAAAGTTCACTTTCTCTCTCCAGACAATCAAACCCATTTAAATTCCTCAAACCTCAAGCAAAATTTCAAGAAATTTGAAATTATGAGTCCAAAATTGTTCAAGATGACAGATAAAAACGAAAGGTAAGACCATATTCGACATTCATACTTGTTTATTTTGAGTTTGAGTGTTTGTTTTTATAAAGTGGATTGAAAATTGTATTTTTTTGGTTTTATAGGGAATTAATTTGCTATTTATGTAGTTTTGTTGTTGCAATGAGAAATAAATGATCTTCTTCAATCGACCAATTAATACATTTTGAAAGAAGAACCCAAGCAAATAGAAAAATTCAGAAAAAGTTGCAGATCCAAATAATACAATGTACATTAAAATACAATAAAATGTTCTTTTTCATATATATACTTGCATGATCTAAATAATACAGTGTACATTAAGCCTGTAAGCAAACATATATGTTCATTATAATGTATACAATGTACATTATAATACATTAGGAAATTTTTTCTATAACTACCCTAAAGATAGGGTTATTTGTGAACAACTACCCGTTTTTTTTTATTATTTTATTTATTTGTTAAGAACTACCCAGAAGATAAGAAAAGTTTGGGTAGCACTACCCATTAACGTTTTCTATCCAAAAAAACATTAATGAGACCTACTTGTTTACTTTTCCCAGTTCTAATTATCTTCTCTCTCCTCCCTAATTAACTTCCCCTTTAAACCCTAGAAATCAAAACCCCCAAATTTAGACATCCTACCAATTACAATGGTCAATTAGACATCCTACCAATTACAATGGCTAATTACTTATTAAATGCAATTGAATTCAATCTCAAAGTCAAAATAACCGAAATCTAGAACTCAATTGAACTCCTAAACCCTAAAAATCAAAAACCCCAATTTTTTGAATCCATAAATTAAACCCTAATCCGAATCACTATTTACACCCTAAATATGTTAATTGCGTTCAATTAAAACTTGTAAACAAATTCTACAAACAATGTATCAGAAGGAAAGTGTGAAACATTACATGAATAATTGAGAATTTGTGTTCAATTGATTGAGTATGTTCTCTTTGAGTGAGAATTAAGGGAAAGTTAATTAATGAGGAGAGAGAAGGTAATTATGGGAATTCATTAAGTGGGAAAAGTGAAAAAGTGGGTCCAATAACGTCTTAATTGGACGGAAAACGTTAATGGGTAGTTACCCAAACGTTTTGTAACTTCATGTAGTTCTTAAAAAATTGGAAAAAAAATGTTAGTTATTTACAAATGACCCTATCTTTAGGGTAGTTCTAGACAAAATTTCCTAAACAGTAATATTTTTTTTGGTGAGAAAGTGGGCCAAGCCCAGAAACAAAACACACAAAAACGACAGAAACAGAATAAAAACAAAGAGAAAAAAGAAAATAAAGGAAAACAAAGAACAAAAACTAAAGCACTACACTTGAGAGCAACCTCTCCAATGTAGACTCTAATCACGAGCAGGCACCATCCTCGGCCTTGTAGCACCACCGAGGTCCTCCAATAAAACCGCAGAAAGATCCTTAGGGACCGCTGAGAAAATAGTGAAGGGTTGAGACGTTTCTACACCGAAATTGGCTAGCCAATCCGCAGCACGATTCGCCTCTCTATAGCAATGCTTGATAGTGACATCCCATCCTTCTCTCGACATAAGGGCACAGAACTTTCGAACGATATGAATATATGGAGAGTTGGGGGATTGATTATCCACCAACATTTTAACAACAACTTCGGAATCTACACATACTTGAATCTTCCTATGACCTCTGTTCCAAGCTATGGCTAGACCCCGAAGCACCGCAAGCAGCTCAGCCTTGGTATAAGTACATATACCACAGTTAACCGCATACACTTCATAAAGCTCTCCTGACAGGCTAAAGTCGTATCACCAAATCAAAAGTATTACCTAAGTCCTCTAACTAATGCAGATAGGGAAGTAGGGTCGAATCCACAGGGAAACAAGTCTTTCTATTCCTAAATAATTATTATAATCTAATTATCAAGTAACCAATTGTTGTTGTAAAAAGGAAATATAGAAAATCAATAATAAGAAGGCCTAGGATAATAGGTTCACCAATAATTAATATTCCGGAATAAAACATAACAATCAATAATTAACCTTGCACAAATAATATGATTAATAGGCTCTCACAATTTATTAATCAACATAGATCTAACAGGCTCTCGTAATTTACTAAATCTAAGTTCCTATTGAAAATAGGCTATAATATCAAATTAACATCTGCTCGATTCATCAATTCAATATTGCTATACTTTTACAATCAAATTTATGTGTCTAT